CTTTCCCTATGTAAATATCATAGAAACAAACATTAAAAAGTGAGTTTACACAGGTAAAGGCACTGTGCTTATGATACATATGGGTGCAGTTTCGGAGACTTTGTATCAGCTTTTCCAAATACTCAATCAAAATGCTATGTTGCATTGTAATTATGCGGTTTTGTGAGCTTGAGGATAGTTTTTTACTTTTTTAATTGGTTCACGGCCTCATGTTTTCCCTAATGGTTACAAATGCTTTGAGGCCTGGAGCTAAGAAATCTGCTTAGTGGAAGGTAATCCTGCCCCCATAGTCATTCACTATGCCTGAGGGGAGGCAGGAGTGTTTCTAATATTGGCAGTGTAAGTGGTTGCACTGATGCTGAACGACAGCAACTATTAACTGTGGGTGTGTGTTGATCCATAATTACCACTGAGCCACTTTCTTGCCATAACCAAAGATTTGTCTATTTGGGGTACTTAAATACCATGCAGTAAGTATGGAAATAAATTCCTCGAGCTATATAAAATCAGACTAAAGCACATTTTTCTTTAATGTGCTTTCTAAAATCTGTGTATAACTATCTATTCTTTATTGGAAATCCATATCTTATTGAGTTGTGCATTTTTCTGTGGGTTTTTCTCTATAACTTACCATGTTTGAGTCCAAATATATTGGAATAGATAGCAGTGATACTAAAATTATGTGGTTTGAACTAAACAGTCTCTTTTAATCACATTGAAATTGTCTCATAGTTCTGCTGAACTTGTTATTGCCTACCCCAACCCATGAGAGAAGGTTGGAGGCTGAACAACCACTATGACGGGATGGTGGGTAGCAGTGCCTAAACTCAAAGAAAGAGTGGTATGCCAGTCTACTAAGTCGAATTGGTGCTTTCAGAAGTGCAGACACTATTTTCTTATTCATCAAATCTTAATTACCTATTATGTACCAAGAACTGTGCTAGGTTCTCTGGATATATTTTGCTAAGACTCTGTCCTCAGGAAGATGTAATTGAAGTCTAATTGGAGACACAGGCCAGTAAACATATCTGGATAACAGTGCAGTAAGGGAAAACCATAGAGTAAAGTATGCATTACAGTTATTTGGTCAGGTTTGGTTGGAGAAGGCCAAAGAAGTCTTTAGAGAAGAAGTAATGGTTATAAACACAGAGGTTGCAGCTTTAATTTCATTAGCAGTAGAAATGTGACAATCAATACTAGTGAGGAAATATGTGTAAAAAGCAAAGCACAACCCCTGGTACACTGTAAGTTCATATTAAATGATATGAACTGTTATTATTATTACTCATCACCCTCACTTTATACATGAGAAGATTAGACTAAGGCCTGTGGAGAAGTCTGTTATCCCAGTTCACACAGCTAGAAGTTCTAGGAGCAGAAGCGAGGTTTTCAGACTCTCAGTTTCTTCTATTACACAGTGACACCTGTGAAGCTGAGAACACTGAGAAGCCAGCCTTCTTCCGGCGTCTTTCAGACATTGTCCAGGCTGTGTCTCTCTGTGTAAAAACAAACTAATAGCCACGTTCCCTTCGTACTTGTGGAAATGACATTTTCCTGGTAGGGCAGGAGGTTGCTATTCTTTCTTTGTGAATTTGGTCTAAGATGAGCCAAGTGTGGAAATTAGAGGAGGAGATGAAGGAGAAAGAAGGATGAAGTGCAGGAGGGCAGTGATACCAAAGAAAATGCTCTTTATCTCAAGCCATGGACATTAAAAATCAGTGCAAAGCTGTCCTGTTTCTCCAAGCACTTAAATCAAAGCAGTACTGAGTGCTTTTTCTCGTCCACCATGTCTTTGCATTGGGATGAGACTAGGCAGAGGAAATGGGTTTCTTCTGAAACACTAACCTTAACAGTCAATGGTGGAAGGATTCTGTCTAGAGTCAGGGGGCCCAGGTGGGCCTTATGAATGGATTTGACCTTGGAGACAGTAAAGAGAGTGAGGAAAGGAGATTTTTTCCCCAAGTGTTGCTCCATTTGCAGAAATTATGGTAAAATGTATAATCAAACACATAGATGGCTCAACCATCTATGAAGTTCTTTGATAAGAGTTCCTTACACCTGTCCAAAGTTCCAGAGTTCCATGGGAGGCAGCAAGAATGAAGAGTAGTTGGGGATGAGTTTTTTGGTGGTACAAGAAGGAAGCAAAGGATAATCCTTGTGCCTCCTAAATCATGTTGGAACTCTGAGAGTTGAACTACAGCTGGTAACACCCATGTCTCCTTGTTAGAAGTAAGCCAAGTTGACCTCATTCAAACTCCATCCTCCTAGGAAATTTTGTTTTGTGCAGCATTCCATAGCTTCCTTATCTAGACCTCCTAACACTGCATGCAATAACTAACAACTGTGGAATAGTATCGTTCTCCTACATGCAGTTGATAAGGCTAGTTAAGGATCTTTAGCTTCTTCTGATTCTATACCCAGTTCCTTTTCTCTTGTGGTCCACACTGCTATAATGCATGTTTCCGTAAATATGGATTAGCTGAGGCACAGTTGATCAAAGGGAAACGATGCTGGTATAGTGAGGAGATTGTGTTGGTTCACACACAATTTATTCCTAA